CAGTCATTCCAAGCGTTAGAATAATGACCTAAAACAGAGACCGTAGAGTTATAAACATTTTACTTGCTTTTATTTTTCCTTTTCGAAATACAAAATGTGCACATTGAGTTTACACAAATACGCGATGGCAAATTTCAGTGTACATGTATTGTACTACTTGTAATTTCTACACTGGTGATAGCAGGGCAGCGCTCAACATCCTATCTCTACACCAGAATAGATACCTGATTTAGTGCTGCAAAGACAATTGCAAATTCCCTCCCACTGTAGCCTCTTGGTCTCTGTGATATTTCTGCAAAATGGGGAAGGTGATGTCTCCTCAGTATTGTATGGCATCCTGATGGTGTGCTGGCTTAAGGCCATGAAAAAGAATCTGCATTTGGGGGGAATTTTATGATGAGCTGAATTGTAACAAAAATGAGTTGTTCAGCAACTGTACTCATAGTCTACGGATCTGGGTATTCTAGTTCTCAGTACAATGGAGTGACTGGTGAATTCTGCTCATTTTTTGTTCATAGGTATTGGGATAATCAGGGTTTCTTTGCCCCTCAATGGCTTGTAATCTAAGCATGCTTTGAGGAAGCATGGACCGGAAGGGGGAAATGTCCCTTAGGCAATTAAAGGGTTACTTGTTATTAAGCAGCGAGATGGATGGGAGGCCTAATATCTTGGCCCTTGGCATCTGCTTGGGAACACCCTTTATCTCACACCTTCTGGGACTGTTCCTTAGTGGCCCATTATAAATAGCCATGATGATGTAGGGGTTCAAGGGCCCCACTCCCAAGCTGAAGGCAGCAGTCTGCTTCTGTAAAGCCAATTGCCTTGCAAACCCGACTTTGCTCAACATGGTGGCCAGGAGTCACAGGTGACTCCAGGGAAATGGGTTGTTGTTTATGTCGAACAAATTTAAAATGGCATAGATTAGGTAAGCCTGGGTTGTGACGGAGATTGAGACACACTAAGATGTGTTTAGCAACTAGGCTTTTTTAGACACAGGCTGACATAGGGTGATCAACGAATGTGGAAGATGCCAGAGAGAGTGGAAGTCTTCAACAGAAGGTGCCAAATCCCAGGAGATCAGGACTATGTTTGTGATTTCAGTTTTCATGTGTTCACTGAAAGTATATAAATGGGACTACAGAGTCTAAACATTAAATAAGTTTCTGGAAGAATTAAATGTAGATGCCAATATTTTAGAAAACCATTTAAAATGCCCAGGGCTGAATTCATACAAATGTGTAACCAAAAAAAAACAAAACAAAACCCCCACTGCTTTGTAAAAATCACTTTTGAGAAGTGAACGCCTGAATCATCTCACAGCCAGAGAATCAGACAACAAAACAAGAATAACTATCTGTCTGCCAGGTTCCATGGCTTTCCCATATTCGTGTGGTATGAAATGACTTTGAGAATATCCCATGAGTTCAGGGGCATGATGAAAAGGATGCAAATTTATAACCAGGAAACTCAGATCTCTTGG